TTAGGGTTTAGGGTAGAAGAGGGTTTCCGCGAGAGCCCGGTACCACTGAAATAAGGAATATACCTTAAGTCCATCATATCAAGGCCCCTATCACTGAATAGTATAGTCCTTAATGAAGGAGCCTGGGGCTCTCTCGGTTTCGAGGTCTATGATGCTAGACTTCTACTAAGGAACCCCCCCCAAAAGCATGCTGCTACAGGTAGTAATTATGCAGGCTTCTATCCCTATACCCCAAACCCTACACTCTAAGCCCTAACTAAACCCATCCCTACACCCTAAACCCTAAACCGGTTGTACCGGCTGCCGCGCCACCGCGCGACCTAAGTGTTAGAACCACACGTTCTCGGATCGATTGAGCGGCGGGCTCAAGTCAAGACTCAGGGCTTACCTATTGTTGATGATATATAAATCCTTAGCATTACCTTAAGGGCCCTAAACTATGGGAATTATGGTATATTCCTTATTATGGGTAATGCAGGATTTTTGATCATCAACCGTAGGTCAAGTCTAAGCGTTACTGCAATCAGGGGTCCGACAGCGGACAGCGTCAACGCGGCGGCAAAAGCGGCCGTCGCGACCACAGACGCAAGGTCTTGTGGACGTTCACCAGTGAGTGAGACGCGATCGCACGGCTGAGCAACCCTTCTGATCTACAGCTCCGTATCTCGCATCTTTGCAACCGTGCTTTCGAGGCTCCGAAGGGCCTCGAGTTGTCGGATTTCGCGGATTCGCGGGCTTTGTGGACTCTCTTGTTTTTTCCTGACAAACCGCGCGTCCCGAGTTTGGGCTTTCGGCCCTTTCGGCTGCATTTTGTTTCTGAGCCCGATGGCGCTGTCCCCGCCTGACAGAACCAGTGACTCCCTCGCCCTCACCAGCAGCAGCCATGCTGAACCCAGAGACTCCAATGTTCCTTAATTAAGGAATATACCTTAAATCGTATTAAGGCTCCCACTATAATTTAAGGTATGTTCCTTGATTAAGGGACATTGGAGTCTCTGGGAAGTTAGCAGCACTGCCCTGGCAGGGCCACAAAAAAGCCTCACGAGGCCTCACGCGCACGTTCGGAGTCTTCCAGTTCGCGGGGCTCTGGTAGGAGGGTTTTGAAGGGACTTAACAGCAAAAGGCATTACGGTCCGCTAGTGCGGACGGTCGTCTTGCATTGGCGCCTAACCGTGCATCGTCATGCGCATGCGTGCGTTGCGATGTCTCCCCAACGGCTGGAGCACCATCAGCAACAACCACGCCTCTGTACATTGTGGCCGTCCTGCCTGGCAAGGCAGCATTTTGGTCATGGAGCCGTTTGCTCGTGCTTTCTGCCTGGGCTCCAGTGCTGACAGGTGGCAGTTTCGAATGGTGTCAGCAGTGAACTCGGAAAGTGGCCACAGGTCACAATAGGAATGTCCTGCCCGATTTCAGAGCAACGAAACGGAAATGAAGCGTTTTAGGAAGGCGCTCCATTGGATGGAAATCGAACTGATTTAGAAAGGCATCCCATTCGCATACATTCCGAATCCTCAATGGCTGGCTGCAACTGCAAACTTTCGTGGCATTTCATGGAGTGGGAATCCCCACTAGCTTGCAGGAAATGAGCCGCTTACGGAAGCACTCAACTTGCAAACCACCAATCGCTTGCCACAACTGAGAGTTTCATCGACTGTGAATCCCCGATAGCTCGCCGCAACTTCATGGAGTGCGAACCCCAACAGCGTGCTGGAAATGCCGCGCTTTAGGAAAACGCTCCACTTGCAAACCCCCAAAAGCTTGCCACAACTGAGAAATTTCATGGCATTTCATGGGATTGCTGGAAATGCAACGATTTAGGACAATGCTCCAGTAGCTAACGCCCAATAGCTTGCCACAACTGAGAAGTTTTATAGATTGTGAATCCCCAATATCTTGCAGGAAAAAGACCGATTTAGGAAGACGTCCCACTTGCAACTCCCCTGTAGCTAGCCCCAATAGCTTCCTGGACACAGGGCACGACCAACACAGGTCCAAATACGCTTCGACCCTGCTGCGGGGGTTCGGGCCCCCGTGTAAAATCCACCGCCCTGGGTGCAGGAGTGCTGGTCCCGGGCTGGTGGTCTCTAAAGGATTCTGGCCCTTTGAAAGTTGGCATGTAACCGTGTATTCCGACCTTCCGGCTTTCACCATATACCTTTATGAGCACATGCCCCTGTGAAAAAAAAACCGTAACCCAAACCCCTATAAACCCGAGGGTCCAAACCCTAAGCCCTAAACCATAAAGGGTTCTACTCTTTGAGGCCCCTATCTTATACCCAGACTTCTACCCGGAACCCTCTAAATCCTAAACCCTAAACCCTAAACGCAATCCGAAAGGAGCAGCGGAGATCTCTGGTAGAAAACTTCCGGACGCTCTTCCATTGGTGGTCACCTGATTCTTGGCTCTTCTTGAGGAGCTCGTGCTTGTGTGAAGTAATATGGGGTCCACCCAGAGGAAGATTAAATGTTGTAACTATGAAGGCCCCGCCACTATATTCGGGTCTGATAAGGTGTTGTGGCCGGTTCAGTTCTTGTAAACGTAGTCTAGACTCTTGCACGCGTTGCAAAGGTGTTGTAACGGCTTCAAAGAACCTGATGGTCCATGAACCAGCAGAACAGTTACATGCTGTCTTACAAACTATAGCAACCAGTCCGAAGCCCCAAAACCCTAAACCCTAAACCTTAACGGTACCGGATGCGGACAGCCAAAAGGAGATCAAACACCAAAGACCTGAAACCCTAAACCCTAAACCCGGAGTCCTGACCAAGAGCCCAGGATGCAGCGTTCCTTCACTTGGACACCTCCCAGGTAGTCTTCCCACGGCACAAACGGCGTGAGTGGGAGATGGGTCTTTATCGGACTGGAACTGTGGCTAAAGCTTAGAAGGCTTTGAAGCTCTGTGGGGGTCTATACAGACTTCTTTAAAGGAGGCTCTTTTTCAGTTTGGCTCTAGTGGTTCCAAACCTAAATCCTCAAGCCCAACCCTTAAACCCTCATCCCTGAACCCTAAACCATAAGCCCACTACGAGAGGGGTGTGTAACGTCCTTTATCAGAGCCCTACGAGGATGCAAAAATAGATCCCGTAAGGAGTTCCTAGAAAGTAGGGCCTCAGGTTTATGGTTTTGGGATTAGGGTTTATGGTTTGGGGTTTGGGTGTTCCCCTAAGGGTTCCTTTCAGGGTTTCTCCAAAGGTTGTGTTACGGGTTCCTTTACGGGATCTATAAAGCTCAGGGTTTTGGGGTCGGGGTTTGGAGTTTGGGATTAGGGGACTGCCCAAAACGCAAAACCCTGCATCCTGAACCGTTCGTTGTGGGGTTTTAGGGCTTGTTTCTCAGGATATCCGGAGAACTCGATTGTGAAGCTCGCGGCGGGTCAGCTTGCGGCCATGGCACCTTCGAGTTTTATCGTGTTTTACACGTTTTCATGCTTTCTTTATGCGTTTTGTAACAGTTCTATAGGGTTTTCTACAAGCGCGTAGGGCTTTAAAGGAATTACGAAAGGTTTTTTTTTTTTTTATCAGGTTTGCTATGATTACAACAGTTTTAAATTTTTTATCGGTTTAATAAAGAGGCCTAAACAATTAGGGTTTAGGGTTAAGGGTTTATGGTATTGCATATAATACACACCAAAACCCTTTTCTAATCATTGAGGCACCTCGAGTATACCAGTTCTTGGAGAATTTGAGACTGGACCTCGAGGACATGCAAAGCCTCCTGTTGGAGGTGGCTGGGTAGCTTTGGTTTATTCCCCATAGTTACTATGGTCTAATCGTCGTAAGGAGCAGCAAGAATCAGCAACACCTGTAATCGATAAAGGGCCCTCTGAACCCAGAGAGCCCCATCTTAATGAAGGGATACGACACAATGATCCGCCTTCAACTACAGAGTCCTAAATATTTTGATTTGAAGTCTATTCCCGCATTGAGGCCCCCCCTCTTAAAGAAACAGCCTAGGTGGAACATGGAGCTTCCTCGCGAGTTGCTGCATGCAGCTGGGTTCGAAACAACACAGAGATCTGGACCACTTGGATTCCCGTGGATACGCAGTGCCTGCCAGGAGATGAGGGTACTTGGGGGTTCAGGGTTTAGGGTTTAGGGGTTTGGGGTTTAGAGTTTAGGGTCTAAGGGGTTCAGGGTTTGTCGGTTTAGGAATTTAGGAGTCAACACTGTCGGCCAGGAGAAGGTCTGCAAGACTCCGACGGACAGCACCTGGCCAATCGATCTGCCGCAGTCGGTTGCTCATCCTGCCGTCCCGGCAACTTGGTTTAGGGTTTAGGGTTTAGGGTTTAGGGTTAACTAGGCCTTTCTTGAGCACCAGTTCTTCTTTCCAGTATTGTTTGTTCTTACGATGGAATAACCCGAAAATAACCCAGAGACTCCAAAACCCTTTAATTAAGGAATGTTTCTTTAAATCATAGTAGGCATCCCTATTATAACTTGAGGAGCCTTCCTTAATTTAGGGTTTTTTTGGGAGCCTCTGGGAATCAAGGGCTCCATGAGCAGCTCAGGCAACTTCTCCCAGTCGATCTTGGATAACGAGGGCGAAACATACTTGTGCAAGCCCTGCCCAGCAGGCGTCCTAGGATAAGGATTCATAAGTGTTCATGGTCTAGGGCTTTGTAAGGGCTTTGAGTAGGGTTTGGGGTTTAGGATATAAATCCTTAGCATGACTTTAAGGACCCTAAACTATGGCAATCATGGTATATCGCTTATTATGGGTAATGCAGGATTTATATCATCAACCGTAGGGTTCAGGGTTGTTTAAGGCATCTCGAGGGCTTCCCTCTACGGTTCAACCAACGGTTGCGGTAAGGGCTACTATATGGGAGTTTCTGAAAATAAGGGGTACCTGATTTTGGGCTCCTTATAAGAAGGATACTACTATATTAGGTACTATATTAGGGTCCCCTATTTTCGGAGACCCCGCCATAAGAATGTGGGTTGCCGTAAGGGGCATTGCAGGGCTTTGGTAACGGCGGGCTTAAACGTTAGACTCGGGTCCTTCAAAGGATGTCTCTAAGCCCCATTAAACCCTGAACCCTAAACCCTAAACCCTCCTGGTAAGGAATTCTAGCTGTACTCGCAGTTGGAAAAGGGCCCACAAAAAAAACCCAAACCCTTATCGTGAACCCTTACCGTCCTGCCAGGAACGTACGAGAATGCCTTCGGTAAGACCGTTTGTGTGAGCTGTGACGTGGGAACCTTCACCAATGTGGCCGGCAGTGCTCACTGCGTCTGGGCTCAGGGTTTTAAGCTTCAGGGTTTCGGGGTTCAGGGTTTAGGGGTTTAGGGTTCAAGGTTACGGAACTTAAGTCACCATCATGGAAATCTATAGTATTTCTTAGAGCTCTCTTAGCAAGAAACCAGGTGTTCGGTGCGATCTGGGTAGATTCGCAAATGTTTCTGGCATGACCCAATGTCATGCCTGCGGCACTGAACACTGGACCACAAGTCAGCGCATCGTGAGTGATGATGTAGACAGATGGCTGGAAGTGGACGGAGCGACTTCTGCATCTTTTTGCAGCTGCGTGGAAGGTTGGCCACTTGTCTGCAAACCAACCCCAAGCCCTAACCTTAAACCCTGTACCTCTCAACCCTAACCCCCGAACTCTGAACCCCAAGCCCTAACCTTAAACCCTATACCTCTCAACCCTAACCCCTGAACTCTAAACACCAAGCCCTAACCTTAAACCCTATACCTCTCAACCCTAACCCCTGAACTCTAAACCCCAAGCCCTAACCTTAAACCTTATACCTCTCAACCCTAAACCCTGAACTCTAAACCCCAAGCCCTAACCTTAAACCCTATACCTCTCAACCCTAAACCCTGAACTCTGAACCCGAAGCCCTAACCTTAAACCCTACACCTCTCAACCCTAAACCCTGAACTCTAAACCCTAAACCCTAAAGCCCTGAACCGCTGGACCAGGAAGCCTGCCAGGCCTTAAACCCCCAAATCCTACTTGGAGGTTCATGGGTAGTTTTAAGTGGAGTTATAAGTAGGGTAACTAGAGTTATAAATTTTTTTAGGGGACTTAGAACCCCACTTATAACTACCCATGAACCTCCAAGTAGACCTATCTCAAGGGATCCTCAAGGACTTTTTGGCGGATCCCTTTGGGCTGTTCAATCGGAGGGGCTTCGGATTTAGGGTGAGGGTTTCGGGCTTACGACCTAAACCCTAAACCCTAAACCCTAGAAGCAAAAAGGAGGGTTTCGGGCGTAGGGCCCTAAACAGTAAGACCCTAAGACCCTAAAGCCCTAAAGCCCTAAAACCCTAAAACCCTAAACCCGAATAACCCTAAAAGCCCTGTAGGGTTTAGGGAAGGAGGGTCTGGGGTGATCATTCTTTTGATAAAGGATCTCGGGCCTGCTGTTGGAAGGTTCCTTTGAGGTCCTTCAAGGGATTGATAAGGGTTCCGTTAAGGGATCTAGAAGGGTTCCTTTAAGGGATCTAGAAGGGTTTGGGGTTTAGGGATTTTTGGGGTGGTGGAGGGCCTGTCTTCTAGACTTCTGAACAAATAAATACAAGTCCGTAGGCTTCCCTAGCATGCCTTCGGGTTTAGGATTTAGGGTTCAGGCTTTAGCGTTTAGGGTTTAGCCTATACTGCAATATACCCCCGTAATACTCGTCCTTGAACTAGCAATACTAGTCCTTAGGCTTTCTTAGCAGTCCTATGATCGAATGTACATCCCCCCCAACCCGCTCTGATCTTTAGGCCCTGCACTCAAAATACTATTGGGCGGGTCTTAAAGGTTTTTTGGTTTCCAGTTTAGGGTTTAGGATGTAGGGTTTAGGGTTTGGAGTTTCGGGTTCAGGATTTGCCGGAGATGCTCGCAAGTAGCCAAAACCTTTCCCACATTGGGGTTTGCCGGGAACTGTGGTCTCTTTCAGACACTGCTTTCATTTGCTCTCAAGATAGACCCAGTTCATCACAGCCCCTCCGATAGCGAAATGCAGACGAAACCCTAAACTCTAAACCCTAAATCCTAAAACCCTAAACTCTCAAGGAAATGATCGAATTGAAGTTATGAAGTGAAAGCCGGGCTTATGGGCACAGCATGAGGGCAGGGTAGCGAAAGGGGGCAGGAGGAAGGACAGGGGACAGGGCGGGCAGGGCAGGGCAGGGCAGGGCAGGGCAGGGCAGGGCAGGGCAGGGCAGGGCAGGGCAGGGCAGGGCAGGGCAGGGCAGGGCAGGGCAGGGCAGGGCAGGGCAGGCAGGGCTGGGGGGGGGG